GAAGATTAATGTTTTTAATTCAAGTAATTTTAAAAAATATTGATTGATTGATTTCAAAGGGGGGGAGAGAGAGAAAAAAAAGAGGGAGAGACAGACAGACATCGATTTGTTGTTCCACTTATTTATGCATTCATTGGTTGATTCTTGTATGTGCCGTGACTAGGGATTGAACCCGAAACCTTCGTATATTAGGATGATGCTCTAACCAACTGAGCTTCCCAGCCAGGGTTCAAATAGTTTTTTTAAGGTGTGTCCAAAAAATTTCAAAGCCAATTGAAGGGAATATCCCAATATCTGAAATGTAGACTGTACATAGAATGGATTTACACACTGATTTTCTAATTCAAACTCATGATTTGTTTTAGAAGTTATTCCTCCTGCCTTTCCTGCTTACCTTATGGTGGTGGCAGTGGTGTGGCGTGTGGGGTTTGTTTTGTGTTTTGCCCCCCCAACCCCGGTCGATGGCTTCTGGAGTGTTGTCCCAGGGTGTGTGTGAGTCTCCGTGTGGAAGTAGATCTGGGCTGTGAAGTGGTGCCACTTGTCGTAAGGGTGACTTCTGCTTGCTCTGGGATGGAGAAGCAACGCATCCGTTTAGCTGAGAGGCGGCAGAGTTTATTTTTGTGGCAGACGTGTCCCACTCCAGAGCTATAATAACCGTAATGAAGGAGGATTCTGCTGTATTAGGCTTCTGAAGGGTGTACTAGTCTGTTACTAGGGTCAGTGGTGGCAGCTCAAGCCAGCAATTAGGTTTCATTAAAGACTCTGGCAGGCAATTAGCATTCGCTTCTGCCAGTGGAATCCGATGATCTGTATTAAGCGTATTCTTTTTCATTGTGCATTTTGTAAAATGTGCTGTAGATGACGAAGACACACATTTTTTAGACACACGCAAGCCTCCACATCGTCGTTTGAGAAATGGGGCTGACTTTTGGAATCCCTGTGTTTAAACGTGTGGGTTCTGCTAACTAACATCCTGGGTGATTGTGCTGCTTAAAAATCTGTACGTTTTTAAAAAGAGCATATAAATTCTTTTATTCAAAAGTAAAGAATTTGTTATGGGATATTATATAATTATGAGATTTACGAGGGGGGAGAAAAAGGCACTGCTGATGCAAAACGAATGAAAACTCCAAAATAATGAAATGACACCTATCGGTCTTAATGATATTCTTTAGAAAATTACTGTTTTCTTAAGAGGCATCTAAAAATAAAGGCTGGAAAGGATGGTCTGTGCTGTGCATCTGCTGAGCAGCTGCTTTGGTTGTTTTCGAAGCGAAGCTTTGTTCCGAAGTGCCAGGTTAGGTACAAGAGTGTATTCCATGCCCCTTCATCCACGCCTTGAGGTGTTTTAGCTTCCCTGTGAATGTGAAGTGACACTTACACTTACTAAGTTATTTAAAGAAACTTCCTCCCTCCTTCCCTCTTCGCTACTCCAGTCCTTTCTCCCTCCCTCCCTCCCTTGATAATAAATGGTCTTCCTTTGGAGGATTCTGGTAGGTGAGTTACCGTCTGTGCCAATCAGAATTGATATTGGGGATGGTCAAAGGGAGACACGCTCGTGTGCCACAGGCTGGGTCAGGCACTCAGTGCGAAGGTGTGGAAAGGTGTCTGTTTCCATGGGACATTGAGGGCGATCGCCCTGTCATTTGGTTCTCGATCTGCATTATTATTTTTCTTGTTGATAGATAAAATGGTAATAACATCTGAGCATTGATAGCACTTTGAAATCTGCGTGTGTGAGTTTTTTCCAGACTCCAAGGAAGCTTGCAGGGAACCAAAGCGTGTCAAAACCGAATTCATTTCAGTAAAGACCTATTTTTTTAAAATTTGATTTTATGGAACACGTATAATCTCAGGGGGCAGTAATAGCACATAGAATACGTTCTAGAAAAAGCTTGATTTAGGAGGTTCCTGTCATAGAGACTTTAAACATTTAAGGTCTTTGGTAGCATACCAGACTTTGTTTTTATTAATTGGACTTTTTTTGGGGGTGTGTGTGTAGGGGGGTAGCACAGAGCAAGAGCAAGTTTAAAATATCAGGAATTTGTTCACAAGACCACTTTTCAGGGAGAGTTCTAGAGACAGTAAACATTTCGACTAACCGCTTGTATTTATAATACAGTGCAGATCACGTGCAGATTAAATTTGAGGCACTGCGGGAGCTTCTTCCTCAGAGAGGGACTCAGGTACGTTCAGCAGCCCCCCTTCCTGAGGCCAGAGCCTGCATGGTTAGTGTTTATGGTTAATGTACACACGACGGGGAAGCCTCGGTTCTGCAAGCCCTGGCCATGAGCCCCCCTCACTATAACACCGCCAGCAAGAAAGCGGGCAGGGCAAGGGGGTGTAAATCACGGAGGGCTTTAGAAATACCATTGCAAGTATTTTTTTAATAGCTGCCACTGTGGACGTTGTTTTGTGTAACGGGGCATTTAACAAAGGCGTTGTGACTGCAGCCTGAACGTTTTTTTCCTGCAGCTTCTCTATTTTCCCGAGCTCAGTGTTTCCTTCATCGGTTTTCCCAGTCCCGTTTCTGACCTTGGACACAGCAGAGCTTGGGGTCTGGAAACCTCTTTTCCTCTACAACCGTTACACTCGCAGCAGCCTTATGAAAGACATGTTATTTTGATCTATAGTTTTATTCTTGAGAAGTATAGACGGCCAAGAGGTTAGTCGCTGGTCTCGCAGGTATGTGGAGGAAGTGGGATTTGAACCCCTTCTCTCTGACCCCACAGCTCAAGTTCTTAACCGTGACATTAGGCCCAGAAGTCCACACAGGCCAGGGACATCTGTTCTGTTGCCCTTTGTCTTTCGTTTTTCCAACCATCAGCCTGTTTAATAAATGCATTTTGATGTTTTTGAAGGCGGGGTCGCTTTTCTGTGGTCATAATCTTCTAATAATGTGCCTACAGGCCACGTGATCATCGGGCATTAGAAATGTGACTAGTTTGAGCAGAGACATGCTCTTAAGTATCGAACACACACCAGACTTCGCAGAAACTTAGTACAAAAAAAATACGTAAAACATCGCATTGTAATTGTCTACATTGATTACACATTGAGATAATGTTTTGGACATGTGAAGTGAAATAAAATCTATTATTAAAATTAATTTCTTGTGTTTTGCTTTTTAAATGTGATTGCTGGAAAATTTAATATTACCGATGTGGCTTGCGTTTGTGGTCCACATTATATATTTTTTGGATAGCACCCTTATGGATGGTTATGAGACTATTCCTGGGAACGCTGGCCCCTGAGTGATGCCTCATAGGACTGGGGGAACAGGGGAGGAGAGAGAAGCTAGAAATTGNTAGCACCCTTATGGATGGTTATGAGACTATTCCTGGGAACGCTGGCCCCTGAGTGATGCCTCATAGGACTGGGGGAACAGGGGAAGAGAGAGAAGCTAGAAATTGTTGGTGACGGTGAGAAGCAAGCTTGATGACACCCTAGATGACCAGCAGAGACAGACTAATATTAGCGGGCATGTACTTGCTGCTTTCCATGTGCAAGTACTTTGTCAAGCACTTTAAGTGGATTATCTATTTGATCCTTGCAACAACCCTGTGAAGTAAGCACTCTTGTAGGCTTATTTTATGGATGAGAAAATGAGGGCTTAGGAAGGCTGAGGCAGGCACGAGATCCTGCAGCTAGTAAATACTGGTTTACTATGTAACGCCATTGGCATGCAAACACTAGTCGCGATGGAGCCGGGAGTCAGATCTGGGCATGGATTCAGAGCCTGTGCTTGTAACCACTCTGCTTCTCTGCCTCTCAAAGGTGAAAGAGAAAGTATTTCCTGGGACCCATCAGTAGCAGTCCTTTTATTCATTCGGGGTCTATGAAGGGTGTGCAGTCTTTCTCCCCAGCACGGCCGATACCATCTTTGAATTAGGGAATAATATAATACAGTAATGGATGGTCCTAATCTCAAGTTATCAAGAAATGGTGAAGTTGCAGTTATACAAGTGATGTATCACAGAACTGTACACTTGAAACTTATGTAATTGTTGACCAATGTTACCCCCAGTAAGTTTAATTTAAAAAAAATNCCAGCACGGCCGATACCATCTTTGAATTAGGGAATAATATAATACAGTAACGGATGGTCCTAATCTCAAGTTATCAAGAAATGGTGAAGTTGCGTTATACAAGTGATGTATCACAGAACTGTCCACTTGAAACTTATGTAATTGTTGACCAACGTTACCCCCAGTAAGTTTAATTTAAAAAAAATATTGAGTATATATGAGAAAAGAAAAAATGATGAAATTATGCTTGATATACTTCATTTACTAATCCACGGTTGCCTAAATTAGGAAGATATTTATGAGAAATTGATTTTAGAGACTTTAAGGGCACTTCAGGTTGCTTTCTAATAGAGACACCTTGATGTATTTTATAGCAAGTTCAGATTTTGTTAACGTAAGATTAGCTCTTTCTCTCCTCAATATACTCAACAGTACTTTAAAAAAATTGGTAAACGTCTACCCACACATCTGTTTCCAGCTATTAAAATTTTTTTCATATTTTTTACTCTTTGTTTATGTGTAGATATATTTTTGTAATTGTAGTTTCATCTATTTCACATACATGCATGCTTTTTCATTCTTATCGTCTCAATGACTAACGTTTTAGTATATCTGCATATAATCGATATGGTGTAAATCGCTTTGTTATTTTTTTTATTGTTGAAAATACTTACCTTTTGCCTTTCGTGCTATCCAATAGAAGATGACAGTGAGAATCTTCACGCTAGTAGTTGTTGATTTTATTTTAGAATAAATTTCCATGAATGAGATTGCCTGTTATGATGAATATTTTTATGATTTTTGAATCATACAAATGCAACGGAATTTTAAGCATAGGTCATAAAGATAAATTCAAACGTAATGCAACTTTATTTTCAGGTAGCTGATACTTTGTCAGATCTTGCTTTGATGACTAGGAAGTCGATTATCCCAGCAAATAACTCTGGTTTTTGTTTTTTTTGTTTTTTACAGTTCCTTCCCTTATTGTCTGCCAAGGGAATTGATGAGCCCTAAATTCGTATATTCAGAGGATTAATCCTGACACTTGCACTAGATTCACCTTTGGCGTAAGTGTTTGCTAATCCTTACATCATTTAGAGCAGGAAAAAGTGTGTTGGATAGAATTATTTCAGTTATGAATATGACGTGTAGAATTATTGAAACATTTATAAAAAGGTAGCATTTGAGTCGGAATTAAAGATATTATGTGAGTGACTTCCTCATTGGCAAAAAGAAATAATAGTAAATTATTACATCATTCTAAATTAACTGCTTGCCTCATTTTATAAAGATGCCACCTTCCCATTATTCTACGTTTTCACAATGTTTTCTTATATCAGCTACTCTGTAACTTGCTGTATTTTGCTGTGGTAACAGAAAAGGTTCCAACATCTTCGTAGCTTACAACAACAAACATTTATTTTTTGTCTATGCTATGTGACTTCTGTGGATGCGCTGTAGCTCTCGGTGGCTCCACTGGACTCGGTTTGGCTCCACTGGACTCGGTTTGGCTCCACAGGTCTTATTTGGGAACCCAGGCTGAAGGCCAGCCTCCACCTGGGTCTTGATGTTCTGATGGCTGAAGGCAGGACTATAGTGAGAAGCACACAGTCTCACTGAAAGCTGCTTCACGGAGGTGGAAAATATGCTGTCTGCTCACATCTCACTGGCCAAAGTACCATCACATCACTGAGTCGGGGACCTGCACCCCCCCACAGGGCCCGCAGGCCAGTCACAGGAGCATGGGTGGGGTATGTGACAGGAAGGGAGTAAAGGGCTGGGATAATCCCATCTTTTCTACCATCCTGGACTTCAACTATTCCCTTTTGGCTTGGTGTTCCAATTGTTTCTAATTTTAACACTTATAAATAGCATTGCTCTAAATGTTGTTGAACAAATTACATGTATTTACTAGGAGAGTATTTCTGGGGATATGGTTTCCAAAGTTGGCTTTCTGGGTCAAAGGGCATGGATTGCCCGTGGATCCTATTACGTATGGCCAGATTGCTCTCTCCCAAGGCTATCAGCTTATAGTACCATCATCAATATTTAAGTAGACAGCCTTCCTCATGTCCTCCTGGTGCTGGGTTTTGTAAGTTTTATTTTGTTAGTTTCATCCTTGTCTACAGCTTAATTTTTGTAGTTAGTAACGATGGTTTTTTAAAATAAAAACTATCAGAACAAATTATATTGTTATTCATCTCTTAGTCAGTAAAACAAGGGCCACCTGTAATTTTTTGTTGCTGTTTCTAAAAGTCATTGTAAAATTATTCGTTTTTACCCTCTCTGTTTTCTTGGCCCCATATTTTCCTCAGTGTGCTGTTTCCTAAATGCATCTTTATCCCGACTTTCAAACAAAACAGTGAAAAAAGTAAAAACAAAAGATGTGCTTGATTGGAGGTTTTATAACCTTTATCTGAATCAGTTCATAGTAATTATGACTGTGGACCTGGGTAAGTGGTTGAACCCATTCAAATCGCTGAATTTTGTTGCATGTTTTCAAGTCTTAAGAGAGGGCATTTATTTACTGTCCTCTTGCCTAACGTGGGATGCCTTTAATTCCATGGTTTTCAGATTCACCTATTGCCGTATGGTTTATGTAGCAGAAAATACCCACTGAAACTTAAGAACCAGTCTTTCCTGCAGTTTTCCCCCCTCAAACTGTAAACTAAAACTTTTTATTACCAACTGTATCCTCTCCCTGGGTTTACTTTACAAAGTGTCACGTTGCCTGGCTACACTTGTCTCTGGCCTCTGCTTAGAAATAGTGGTATCTGGACATTCCCAGAAGTATCCTTGGTCCTGTTTCCTCCTCAGAGGCCCTGAGACTTCGCAGCAAAGGCAACAGCCCTTACGGGGGAGATAAGAGAGATCTTCAGGGGATGGGAAGTGGCCCTGGCCTCTGGGAATGACAGTTGGATTTTGCAACTACCATTGGAGTGCAAATGCCTCCCACCTCATTTAGCAGAGGAATGTCAGAAATCCTCGCAACTGAGAAATCCACTCTGTGTTTGGAGAAACAGACTGGTAAAACTTGTAAGAAATATTGCATCTCGGTGGGAAGCAAGTCCAAGTGTGTGAGAAGCAAGTCGACGCACGAACCAGGCATCAGTGTGTGAACCGGAGTTTATTTGAACAGCAGCAGTTGCTGATCGCAGAATGTTAAGAAGTGTCTTTAGAGTATTAGCGGTGTGACTGTTAAGACTTATTAGTGTTGAAGAATTATGAATTTGGGTAGATTGGCCGTGAAAGTCTTTGGATTCTTGTTCCTGAAATGAATTCTTTTTTCGGTTTAACTTCGTTTTGTATAAATCATCTTAGAACTTGCGGCAGATTTTTTTTGGACAATGAGGACCCATTGTTTATGAAGTTTTGCAATAGGAAAATTTTGAGAAAACCAGAGTCTGAGGTTCAAAGAAAGTGAGAATGCGGAGGCTTTATGTGAATATAGAAGAAACCGAGTAAGTACAGAACAGGAGCTTTTAAAATGCAGTGCATTAGGTTCAGTTCCCACTCAGGGTGACGGGAGGCAACCGATCAATGTTTCTCTCTCACATTAATGTTTCTCTCTCTTTCCCTCTCCCTTCCTCTCTCTCAAGAAAAGGAAAAAAAAAATCAGTTAAAAAAACCTTTAAAACAGTGCATTACAATACGATGCTTGTTTATATCGAATCGNCTTTAAAACAGTGCATTACAATACGATGCTTGTTTATATTGAATCGTTACACATCTAGGGTGAATTTTTAACAAGAAGGTTACTGCTGAACTCTTAAAGGTTGTAGTGCTCATGGTAAATGTTTTCTTAAGCTGCTTATAGTTTGAAAGACGAAAGAAGTGCTTACTCTTGCAATGTGTTTCACTTCCCTGAATTCGGTATGTTGGGAGAGTTGAGACAGAGGGTGTAAAATGTATGTGTGTATGATTTTTGAGGTCTGGGATGGATGGTCCCACATGTGGGCCTTGTGCAGTGTTGCCCCAAATCAGCGTTGCCCTGGTCTACTCCCCTGGACTTTGTCATTTCTTTTCCATTTTCCTGTCCTCCTAGCCTGTATGTTGGCCTACCAGTGGAATCACTTATGTGGCGCTGTGGTCCGAATGTGCCCCACCTCAAATTCAGATGTTGAAATCCTAACCCCCAAAGGTGGTATGTGTGGCATTTGGGAGGTGATTAGGTCATGAAGGTGGGGCCCTGGTGAAGGGATTGCTGCTTTTATAAGAGACCCTAGCCCTGCAGAGCTCCCCAGCCCCTTCTGCCATGCGAGGGTACAGCTAGAAGTCTGCAACCTAGAAGAGGCTCCTCGCCTGTGTTGGAACCCTGATCTGGGACTTCCGGCCAACAGAAACATAAGCAGTAAGTTTCAGCTGTTTAGAAACCCAATCTGTGGTAGTTTGTCATAGCAGCCCGAATGGACTAAGACACAGAGCCTAACCTGCTGGGTCATGGTCGGGCAGAAAGTTCTAGTTGGTTACCTAAGAAGGTCTGTGACTGCTGGACTATTCTAACATACCTGTGTCCATCTGACTCTTTCACTAACATTGAATCTTAAGTGTAGTTAATAGCTTTTAAGATATAGGACAGATTTGTAGTTCTTATAACCCATTGTTTGTGATACAGTAATTAGGACGTGTTTGTTGACGCCCGTGAGTTGTTCGAGGTTGTTTATCAGGTGGGCAGTGGCGAAAACCTGTTAATTGACCTCTTGCCGTAGATTCCCAAGGGACACATCTCTCTTGCTGGTGTGCTCAGTTGTCAAATACAGTTGCATTTGGAGGTTAGGCGTCTTGTGAATGACCCCTCGTCTCTCCTTTGCTTCTTTGATGACCTTGGTTTCACAGACACATACGTTGCTTGTGATCAGGCATCCGTAACCCAGAGATGCGGAGCCATCGTCCTTGGCCTCTGTGCCTGTGGGTAGCACACCGAAGCTCATTTTTAAAACAACCATCCTTCGGTTCTTAAAATGTCTCAAGAATCTTCACACGAATTATCCTACCACTCGACATAGTCACTGTGTTTGTATATTCTTTCTAAACCTTGTATTAACTATATAACTATAATCATGTTCTAAATGTAGAACTATTCAAATAGAATAATATATTGGGAAGAATGCCTTTTATTCTGCCTTTTCCCACACTTATCTTTTTCGGCATATTCTCCCACTTCTACACAGTCATAATGTATGTATAAATTTAATGGAAATATAATAAATTCACTGAATTAATATATTAAAAGTAGCACTTTCCACTTACTGATTATTTGGGTTATTTTCAGGGTTTTTGGTTTTTATAAATAAAATGCCATTAATATCTTTGTACAGGTAATGTCTTTTTTCCAATTATTCCTTTGTGTTGAATTTCAAAAAGAAGGATTAATGAGTCACAGAAAATAATGTACACATTTTTACATTCTTTGTTGGCAAAAATCACCCTTCCAAGGATTGTCCGGTGTACATGCTGCCAGATTTTATAATTTATATGTCTCATATTTAGTCATTGTTTTGTTTTACAGATTAATATTAAGTATTTATTATTAGGATATTGTTGACTTGATGTCAAGATCTTTATTCCATTGTTTGCCCTTGGTGGGTGCTCAGTGAATTTTGATTAATTGAGCGTTAGGGAGACGTGCTTATCAGTGTTAGCATTTCCAATATTGTAACTGTTCATTGCTGTGTGTACTTTATTGATTTTTAATGTTGGTTACAGATTTTATTTTGGAAAAAAATAAAAAGCTATGAAGAGAAAAAATTAAAAAACCCACCAGACTGCATTTGGCTGACAAATTGTGAGCTTGGCTTGACTGCTTCCTCCAACTGCCTTTTAGATTCTTCTATTTGATGGATTAGGTTTAGCGAGGTATTTATTCCTTAGCATGCATTTCTGTGCTACTATGAAATCCAGTCTGTTTTTTAACTACATGACCCTTTGGAATCTTGGATGTACCTGCTAGAAGGAAATATTGTTACACTGATAGGATTTTTTGGTTAATGAAAAGGAATATTAAAAAAGAAACAGAGTTAAACATGTACTTAATGTTTAAAGACCCCCTGAATGGGCAACGGAAATA